GGGTAATTTGTTTTCACTTATGTTTTAAATTTATTAGCCGTTTGTTTTTAATGGCTGCAAGAGTTTGGAAAACATGAGCAATAGCCATGTATAAATTGCTCACTATGTATCACTGAGAACTGCTGCTCTGACATAGCAAGCAGCAAGTTCAAGAGAGGTGAAGTAGTCTGAGAATATTTAAAAAAAAAATGCAAAGAGCATCTCCAAAAAAGGAAACAAGGGAGGACTGGAAAACAACTGTAAACCAACAGCAAAATGAATAAAGCCACCTCCTTACCACCTGACAACAAGGAAAATGGTGCTATTTCCAGCATTTGTTTTTAAAGCAGCAATGCTGCGTGGTGACAAGTGATGTTATTCCTCTATGACTAACTGGATGCAGCACCAAAGGCCTGGCGTGAGGCTGACTCACTGAGCTCCAGACATGCCTGCAGGGGCAATGTCTGCTTGAAGAGCAGCACAGCCCAAATTCTCATACCTCGGAGACTCCCAGACACCACTGTAAGATCTCAAGCAAGCAGAGGAAATTGGAGACCACTCCTCACTTTCCTACTGGAGATACACCTCCCACTCTAGCCACCCTATTTCCTTACTATCTGAGCACTGCACACCCCCAGCTTCTTCTGAGACAACCATTATACCTTCATTCCTTATATAAATAACTGACATCAGGAAGAGAAAGCTCCACGTAAAAAGCAGGGCAACCCAACACCCGGTAAACAAGAGAAACCACCACAGAGGTTCAGATTGTTCGTTGTCACATCACAGAAGTTCAGGTCACTTGCTGTGAGAGCTGCTTGAGCTTACCTGCATGTCAGACGCCAGTGTCTCATAGGTGTCTTTCAGACAGTGCCAGTTCTGCCTGCCCAGTGTCAGAGCCACCCCTGGCAGGCTGTAGGCACAGTGCTTGGCAATCTCGGTATCGACTGTTTGTGCGCGAGACGGATCAGTCATTGATAAGTACTGATCCAGCAAGGCTTGAGGTACCACATCCTGCAGGCAACAAAAGGGTAGAGCCTTTATACTATTTTCAATTAATCCTCATAAGGGTTACTAAAATTCCAGGGCGCGCTGTCAGAAAAAAAACCAAACATTTTTTTCTACCACAACTATAGAATATTACTTTATTACAGTGTCCTAGTAGAGCACAAAGGTTTTGTATTTCCTAATTTCCACCAAAAGGTTCCAAAGAGACTATGACATGACTGGGGGCTATTTGAAAATATATAGATCCACAGAACACATGAACAAGTGGATCACAGTTGTCTTAGGGAGACCAGGAAATTAAAAGATTACATTCTATGCCTCTGCAAACATTCAGGCTCATGGGTTGTGCAAACTGGCCATTTTAACCCACCCATAAAAATAGGCAGAACAGCAAATGATGAGACTTGCTCAAAAAAAACTTTCTCTAATTCTCTCAAAATCTTGGGAAGGTAGAGAGAATAAAACTAAATCAAAATGCCTTGGGGAGGCAGGGAAGGGCAGGGAGCGGAGTATAGTGTGTTCAGTATTGCTTCCAAACTCCCTGAATAGCCAACAGGAAGGAAAATGCTTCTCCAGAGACAAAGAGATCTCTGGTGAAGACCATTCCTTCGGTTCACTGAGAAACTAAAGCATCTAAACCAAAATTTTGTGAAAACCTCTTCACATTGACTTCACCACTATCTTTGCACTGACTCCACCCAAGGGGTGTACAAGAACGTTTCCCTGACACCGCTGCCCAACAGCTCTGCTGACAAGAAACAAGAGGGACACTCAAGGAATCACACTGTCGCAGGGTAGCACACCTACTGTTAAACTACGTAACAACAAACATTTGATTCCTTTTGGGAAAAATACCAGAGAGACAGTTTGAGCTCGATGAAACACTTTCACAACTGTTCTACAAAAAGCTATCATGGGGAGGGGGTGGTTTCACTCAAATCATGTAATTAAAAAATCCTGTTTCCTCAATAACCTAATTTCCATTCCAGCATCGTTTCCACAGCAAATTAAACCAAATGAAACCAGAGCCTGAAAATCTACGACAACTGTTACCTCATGTCAAAAAACTATTGTCATCTCCTATGCATAAATGTAACAGAAACGACCGCTGAACTCAGACATTATTTCTGGAAAAAAGGAATATTTTAAAACTACTTAAGAGGTTTGCCCATCTAATAGAAACCATATCACGTCAGGAATGACTGAAAGAAAAGGATAAAGGAGATCCTCATACATAAAAAAAATTCCACTTATCTGATACACATAAGAGAACCAGAAGTCACTTTAATTTACCTGTACTTTGGATTTTCTTTCTTCTTCAGGGCTGAAACTACTGTTGGTGCTTAAATCTGAATCATTATGAATATAGTGAAGTGTAGAATCCATACTCTGTGAAAAAAAGAAAATTAAAGGTCACACAAAATACACTCTAGGACTAAACATAAAAGAAATATCAACACCAAGAAGTGCTGCCCTAACTTCAGTCTTTTTCTTAGATTAAAGGAAAATATGTTTTAATATCAAATACAATTTTGCTACAGCCCAAAATCAAAAAATAAATCTTTCTGCTTTCAATTTCAAACTGAGGCTCTTCTTATTCTGCTCCATTTTGGTTCTTGTGGAATGAAAAAAAATCACAGGAGAGGAGTAACTTCGAGACCGCATTAAGGAAAATGTAACCCAACATATGAGTCACATTGCCTGTCCCCTGAATGGAAAATGAGAAAACACCTGTAGCCAGTTTTGTTGGATTTGTTGCTTTGGATCTGTGCTACAAAAAGGTCAAAACAAAGCCACCCTCACAGTGAAGAGTAGAAACTGATGAGACTTATGCTGTTGCTCATTTCTATTCTACAATCTTCTCTATGGATAAGCATCTTATAATGTGGAGTCCTCGTTGGCCATAGCTGCTGACAACAGTCATCACCTCTCTTATCAGTTCTATTAAAATAATTGTTAGCAATCATTCAAGCAACCTGGCTACATATCTGGACCTTGAAGATAAGGGCTGAGCCCCTGTTTCAGAATTCTGCCGAGCAGCAGAGGTTTGATACGCTGTGATGGACTGTGCTGCTGAGGGGATGCAGCACTGTCACTTTCCATACAAGTGGAGCTCCCCACATACAAGGGACTTTGGATAATAAAACATGAATCTCAAGAAGCAGGCAATGATGTTCAGGCAATGATGTTAGAAAAGTAGATCAGGCTACTGTGTGGTGGCACAGGACAAAGGCATTTTTGCTAGAATTGAGTCAAGGTATCTTATCTATTCACAGACGCTGCGGGGTGAGCTCCCAGGGTCAACACAAGCAATGAGAACATGCCTACTCTACCAGCTGTTCAGATTATTTTGACAACGAGGATTTTCCAGCAAACTATAGACTTCTTCAAAAAAGCCTCCAGGATACCATCTGTCTTCCTTGGTTTGACTTCATATAGTTGCTTTTTCCTCTTCCATGAGCTGCTTTTACCTAAGAGCTGGGCTGTAATTTTAGTTGCTGAGGTATAATTACAGGTGATCAAGACCAGGCAGAGCTGTGAGACAACTACATATTGCTGGCACAGCAGCCCATGTCACCTGCCAGGCTTATCAAGCAGCAGCAAGAAAGTGTCAAAGAGCCAATGAATCTGCAAGCAACTTTGCAACTAAATGTGTCCAGCAGCATACAACTCCCAACTATAAAACCTCCAGAGGCTCTGAAAAGCACCTCTGCAGGATTTTTACTTTGACAGTCAATTCCTTCACTCTTTTTTTTAGCCTTTTGTTTGGCTGGGTTTTTTTCCCCAGAAAAAGAGATTGTTTTCAGTATTGCCAGAAATTCACCAGTTTTGACTCCTTCCAAATGAAGAAATTACAAGGTAGCCAGCACACCCTATCCACAGTGCTTTTCAAGAGTTGTCCAGGAGCACAAGAACAGAGGCTAGTCATCCATTCCGCTACAACAAAAATGAAAAGACTCTATCACGCACATTCCCTGCTACCCCAGTTCCAAAAGGTTAAGTTTAAAAAATATAAAATAAAAATCTTACTTTATGGATTGAACTGAGTTGAACAACTAGATATACTGAAGTATGTCTATATATATACACACACTGAATATACTGAAGATGGGAACATTTTTACCCAGCCATTTTTAAAGTCAAATATGCACTTCTTCTGTACAGAACCACAGCATAAGTCAGCATTTAAGTTATGCAGCATCTCTATTCCTGAAGACAAAGTTCCATCTGTACTTCTTCCAGGCACACACCGAACTGAGCACTTCAGAGAGCCAGGACATAGAAATTCAGCAGGGTTTAGCCTGGAAGTTTCTTGTGTACCAAACTGGTGAACCACCACCTCTGAGATGCAAAATCTTTGCCATGGCCTTACAAATCTTTAAGGTGAGGTTTCCTTTAGCTTCTATTTTTAAAGAGAGGTACTTGTGCCAGACAGGAGTGGACTGGTTTTATTTCACTTTCTTTTCTTTTCTACCTCTAACATTAAAAAAAAAAAAAAAAAGACTCCCACATCCATCCACTGGGTGGATATGACCTGGGGAATTAATCTTAAGGCTTACATTTATTTACCAAACCTTATAGAGAATGTACAACCTGAAGAACATAAAAACAATGGCTCCTGAGGAAAAATCAAACAGCTACCTTCAACAAGCAAGTTTCATGTCCCATAATCTTACTGGTTCCCCCTATTACACCATTTATTTCATCTGAATAGAGAATCTCTCAGTAATATGTAGAAATAACTCCTTCAGGAGCCAATACAGCTGCTGAAAGACAAGCAAAGTGTATTTTGCCTGGTGGTATCTGTGCACAACTGAGCAGGCTGCATTCAAATAAAATACTTTAGCTTGATTTTTTTTGTCAAGTGTCCAGTACCCAGTTAAAACATTGCCGTACTGTTACAAACAAAAAAAAAAAAAAAACAAGCCAAGCCACAACAACAACAAAACAAAACCACAAACCTCCACCAACAAAAAAAAACACTAAACCAAAAAAAATCCGAACAACCACCTGTGAAAATCAGAGCTCTCTTTACTGCTAGGGGTAACAGTCTACTTGCTCAACAGATCACAGCTTGATTCCCAGAATTCTAGGTCACCTCTGTAATATCCGTTCACTTGTAAAATGAGGACTTGATTCAGTGCCAGTAACAGGCAAGGAACTGACAGATTAAGAGCATCCTTTCAAAGCATAAAACTGAAACATGCAAAACCAACATATACCAGAAATGTGACAGGTTCTTAAAACTTTCTGTCAGCGCCATACCCTGTAAAGACATAAAACGTAGGACAAGTCCCTCTGAACAAACACCACCCTCACCACCCCCAAAATTCTTAAGGACAGAGGATATATTTACACTGTCATTTTGCAGATTAGCTTTAGAAGGAAGTGATTACAACAGACCCTATGATAAAAAAAGCATATCGAGCTTGACATAAAGGAATCAGGGCAGGTTGGGTGTTTTGAAATAAACCAACCATATTTGTAGAGTTAAATTATAATTGTGTATAATCAGCAGTATCCAAGTAAATGTCACACTCCTAAACTCCTCATATGTTTAGATGGTAGTCCAACAGCTTAGGTGAAAAGTTAATTAAATGCCACAAAGAAACACTGCTCTAATTACAGAAGGATGAAAATGTTTGCACTGAACTGATGTTAACTCTTTGCCGTTTCAAAGACATTTATCAAAATTTCACCCGAAAATACCATTTCATCAATACGACTGAACAAATCCCTTGCTGTGGTTTTATGGAGCACGTTTTGGAATCGTTGCTTTCTGCATAGTCATAGCTTTTAATACCACCAGAGCTTGTGTTGCTATATGCAGTGAACATAGTGGGTTTGGCTGGCACACAGTAAAGAACAGAAAAAGAGCATCAAAATGCCACAACTACAATGGGGCAGGGGGCAGCGGTGGGGGGTTGAAGAAGTAAGTACAAAATGCTTAAGATGTTACTGATTGCTAGAATCACTTTCTCTTTCAGCAGTCCACAGAACATTTAGATTGCAAGTCCTGGACTTCTCTTAAGCAGAACAGTAAACTGCTATAAATCATTTCAACAAGGAGCAAAGGCAACAAAGTACCTCATTCTCCAGGTTCACAGGGGGGCACCGGAGAAGAGGATTCTCTTATTATAAGTAGGGCTCTGTTTTAAGGAAGGCAATTTCACAGCAATAAACTGCAGTAGCATTAAAACATCTTCAAATGTGACAGCCATAACAGAGATTTTAACAAAAACAACTTCAAGAATTTTCATGGACAAGCACATGGCAAAAACAAAGGCACCCAACACAACTCATTTTATTTTAGTAGCTAACACTTTAATACCAGCCAAAAAAACCCAAATGCCATGCTAGCCAAAGTAGGAAGCATTTGGTTGCAATCACCATATGGATGCAAAATACAGCTCTATTACTGGAGCCCTAGAAATCCTAATGGGAAAATAAGAGTACAAAACTTGCTTCTTACCTCAACAGTATCACCAATTAAAGGCACAATATCACCCAGTATAGGTTTAAAACTTTGTTGGTCATTGATAGTTAGTTCAGTCTGTGAATCTGTCCCCTTGCTGACGCTGGCCATTGTCTCTTCCTGAGGATCCAAACTGGATGCTCTGAGCGCAGCAGACAACACCTCCACTTGTGCTGCAGCACATGAAAGAGAAACACATGAGAGACTAAACCGCAATAAAACTTTTAGCAAGACAACTTTTAGCAAATCAACTTTTAGACAGTGACTAATTAACTGAAAGATGGTGGAGGAACTACAGGGGAGGTACAAACCTAAGATCATTTAACTGTTGGCAAATCCCAGAGTGGGGACAATGAGAGTGTCACTCCACTCTTTTCCCAGGATGCTCCACCAAACCACAGTATTTGTCCTTAAAGTAAAAAAAGCCAAAACCAAACAAAAAAAACCCCAACAGGAATAAGAGATTGCTGTTATGGCAGGATCAGTTCTTTAAGAATCTCAGTACATCTGAACAGGGAAAATAATTTTTGGG